CATGTGTTGATGGTAAATATGATACAAGCACGTGTGTTGTTGTTGGTTGTAAGAATGGCATCATCAGAAACCAAAAGACGGGGAGCTGTGGCGGTGAAAGTGATGACAATTTGGATGAAATAAAAGAAAATGAAATAGAAAAGAAAATCACTTTCAACAAACAAAACCAAAATGTTATGCTTTTAAAAGAAAATATAAACGGAGTTATCAAAGTTGCTGTGTTGCTCGTGTTCTTAATACTTTTTGTTTTCTAATTTAATCATAATTATTATTTATTTATAAGTAAAGTGACTTCCCAAGGTGTGCAAGTTAAGGTATAGTTCATTTATAATTTTTTTATTAAAAAAATAGAATCATTAATTTTTTAAAATTTTGAAAAAAAAAGATTATTAGTTTAATTATTAATTATAATTTTGAAGTTATTACTAAACTATACTTTAACTTGCACACCTTGTGACGTTGCAATTTTTAACTTTCACACTTTGAATACAATTAATTAAGCAACAATTTCGGGAAAGCGACCCAATGGAAATTATCGAAGGACCAGTTCTGGACAACAGTACACATCGATTTGAGATAATGAACTGCACCTATTAAATAGACTGTTTGTTATTGTTTGCAATAAAATGGCACAGAGAAAACATAATGTTTATTACACCTTTTCTTGTCGCTTTGAATTACGCTAACACAAGAGACATCGACATTTATTCACGTTCTTGAAACAAAACAGTTTTTACATTAAACACATAGACAAACCATAACCCAATTTTTATAATTTGATTTGCTTTTTGTAGTTTATTAATTCAAGCACCAAAGGGTTGTGTGTTTTTTGAAACAATTTTGAAACAAATAACATTTTTTAATAAAATGTTTTTCAACTGAAATTTAGTCTTGCACGATTTTTCCCTGTAAAAAAAACTAATACAGTCAAAGTCGCTTATTTGTAGGTTTTCGTATTTGTGGGTTTTGCTTATTTGTGGGTTAACTGACCAATCAAAATCAAAACATACAAATAAATTGTATCTTCTCGAAACTGAATAATTAATTGAAATCAATTAAAATAACTTTATTTTTTGAGTGTATCTGAAACAAAATCTAATATGGAATAAGACTTCTTTTGTATTTTTTTAACTTATTTAATTTAAAAATTTTAAGTTTCTGTTAAAATGGTTTCCATATTTAATAATTGTTTCTATATTTTATTTAAAAAATACTATTAAAAATAATATTTTTTGATTGATAATGCAAACGTGGTACTGAGGTTTCGACTAATAATTAATATTTTTTATAATATTGTATAAATTAAATATAAGAGTTATATTTGGACGTTTTTTTGAAAATGATAAAAAACCATGTTCATTATTATTCAAATAGTATTTAAATAATAAAACGAAACCTTAGTATTCGTCGAAACTATAGTATCATATTTGTAATTATATTATCAGTCTTAAAAAAGTAATAGTAAATTTTTAGACCATTATAACTGTAATTTTTCGGGAAACTGTTGAAAAATCTCCAAAAATACTATTATTTAATTTTATTTAGTTTTTCAACTTTTTTCTAATTCCTATTTTTTAAGGCTTATTTTGTGTATTTATTGTTAAATGAACAACAATTTACAAACAGACTTTATTAAGAGACTAAAAATTAAGAATATGGTTATTTTTATTAATTTTTGATAATTATAATAAATCAAAGAATATTCTTCCCAATTCTTAGCAAAACCTACAAATAGACAGCTTTTTATGCAAGAAAACCTACAAATAAGCGACTTTGACTGTAATTTTAACTTGCACGCCTTGGGGAAGTCACTTTACTTAAAAAGATTTGTAGTTAACTTAGCAGGGTCTTTCAAGTTCCAGTTTTTTGTTAAATACGTGGCAAAAATCAAAAAAATTCACCTTGAGCCGTTTCTTTTTTCAAAAAATAATTTTTTAATTATATATAAAAATGGTAAACACGTAGCGAAAATAACTTAAAACGATACATAAAAATATTTATTTTTAAAATGATTTAAGCCTCTATTAATTCAAAATAGAATTGAATAATTAGTTAAATTATTACATTTAAATAGTAAAATAATACAAAATCTGGCTTAATAAATTAAAATGGTTTTAATCAAGAACAATGAAATACATTTTTTTCAATTAAAGACGTTTTTAAGTTGCTTCAAAACAACACGCATATTAAAAGTGTTTTGTTTTATATTGGGTCTCCAAGTATATTTTGCAATAGAAAATGTTGATTCGGATATAACACTTGTCGGGAATATCGACATGATATAGAGAGTAAATTTCCACAGTTCCCCGTTTCTATTTATCATATCTTTATATGCCAATAGATCTGGAAACCCATTCACATTCTTTACATCAACAACTTTGGTGTTTCTTATTTTTTTAATGATATCAATGTCGTCTTTAAATTGAGTATATTCTTTAGGCAACATCTTTGATGTTTCAACATACTCTCCAAAAAATAAAGCAAATAAACTTTTTTGTTCAATTTCCAAGAATTTTATCTCTAAACAATGATCAAAGGACGAACATTTTACATATGGAAAACGGAATTCCATGCCATATATAATGGTAAGAATGATGTCAATGAAATCATGAATGAAACAGTCTGGTTCGAACTTCAAGTCTTTTATGGTTTCGAAAGAAGAAAAATTGTATTGACTTATTTTCACGACTTTGTTTCTCAATTCCATATAAAAATTCCTTATAACACCCATTTCATGAAACATAAACACATTCGTTCCTTGCAAAGATTGATTGAGGTCGCAAAGTGTATTTAAAGTATCAACAAGATAACTTGAAACGACATAGTTTGCGTTATCTCGAAAAAATGTAGTCAGTTCACTCACTTCAACGTCTCCAATAAATACAATTTCCTTTTCCATTTCTGACAATCTCTTTTCAATATCAGTCCAGTAAACTCGAACGAAAAAAACAATCTTCCCTTGACTCAACCACCTTGTTGGGCACCAAGTGGGTACCGCCTCAATATGCTGTGAACACCACGTCGAATCTTCGGATAAAATGGAACACACAACTTTAAACATCTCCAAACAATTTGCAACAACTGGAATTTTTTCAATCGTCTTTGAGATGAGATTTATTTTGTGACAATTACAGTGAACTTTACCACAAACAAAGTCGTTTTGTAATTCATTGACCATTTTACATGTTCTTATGGCTGATCCATTATTCTTTCCTGAAACATTTGCACCACCATCAACCGTAACAGAAGTCACTTTACGAGGGTCTATTGAAAATTTAAAAAGAACTTGTTTGGTCAATTCAAAGATTGCTTCACCAGTCGAAGAACCATTGTGTGTTTTTAATTCAAGAACCATATTTTTGACATCGCCGTCAATATCAACTGTTCTACAACAAAACACGTATTGAGAATCATGATGTATTTTGCACTCATCCAATTGGATTCCGACGTACAATGCCTTTTTAATTAAATGTGATACTTCAGTTTTCTTCTCCTCAAAAACCACTAGACTTCTTCTCCTTAAAGTACTTCCTGACATGTGTATTTTCTTTGCGGCTTCAACACCAAAAATTTCAATAAAAGCCAAAATGGCGTTTAATATCTTTTCTATCGGACAAGCTTTTGATATCATATCATTTTCTGATAAATTTTTTACAATGAACAACTCAATTTCGAATATTTTTTTGACTCTTCTTCGTCTGCTTCTATTTTTTCCTCTTTGTATGTTTCTATTCCTTTTCCTTTGTAATCATTTTCAAATTGTTTTCCTCTCAGATACATTTTAATTATATTAATTTTTGTTTCATTATCATTTAAAATGTTCGAATGAGTTATGTAGTGGTACTCCATACCACTTCGCGTAAAGCACTTGCCACACACAATACAAAAAATGTATTTTTATCAATTTTGTCGACAAGTCTTTCTGAAAGCCATTCCACCTTTTTGGCATTAAAATTTAAAGTTTATAATTATTTGATTTCAACTTTTAATGTTTTTTAACTATCCAATTAAAACATTATTACTCGTTTTAAAATGTTATAAATTATAATTAAAATAACATTAAACTTAATTTCATGTATTTTTTACTATGAAAAAAAAATTAATGTTATTTTTTTATTTTTTTAAATTTAACAATATATTTATAAGAAATTGTTTAATATATATAAAAATTTAATAAAATTGATTTTTTAACTGTCGTTTTATTTTTTTTAAAAAAGCAAAAAAAAAGAAAAATGCATGTTTTTTTTCTTTTTTTTGTTTTCTATCAAACCATCTTATTTTTTACAAGTTCGTTGAATATTAAGTTTTTTTTGAAAACCATCCTGGTTTGGAAGACCCTGAGTTAACTTTATAATCAATAAATTTGTTGACAACATTATTTTTGTTTACTTCTTTTTGTTTTTTTATGAAAGTTGGGTTTTTAATTAATGATGGATAAAACTAACTATATACACATAATTTTTTTATTATAATTAATAGTTTTTTCTTTTTTTTCGAAATATTTTTTTTTGTTTTATTTTTAAATTGTTTTTTTTTGACCATATTATACATCTAAAAAAATGCAAAAAAATGTGGAATATGTAATTCTTCATTTGGCCAATTTCCGAGTGATATCAACAAAGCCAGCAGACCATTTACAATAATTAACCATAAAAGTGTCATCATTGTGGTCTGGTTAATTGGTGATATTGATTGATTCGAAAAGCCAACTAAAAAATTGACAACCAGCATTTTTTTGAGGACATCAAATGGTAAAATTTAATAAAACAATTACTATTTATTTATGGTTTTTAATTGGCGATGGTCGATACTATATATTATAATATAAACAATTTATCAACTCATTTGTTTTTACAAAGATTTTTAAACTTTACTTGAAGTGTGTTAGCAATAATTTCCC